GGACTTCGTGCGATGTTTTACATCCTTGTTACACAGCGTGAGCAGTGTGACGAAAGCTGAGTAAGGGTAGAAATTAGCCATTGGAAGTTACTTAGCAAGTGCGTTCGTCTGCGCCGCAAATCCCACGACAATATTCAAGAACGAGCAAGACGTCGTTGTTTTGTATGTCTATTAACTTCGCCAACAACATACTCTGGTTATATGGTTAAGTAGATTTGTTTATTTAGAGAACGATGCAATATTTGCTTTTCGTGGAAACAGTTACTTCCGATTGGCTTTCGACGGCACAAAACTTCTCATATTAAATAAAATCAATTCTAATTGAGCTAGAATTACTATTAAGGTTTTCCTTTTTTTTCAGCAAGTTGACTGGGAAACCTGGCACATCTTTGAGTAAGATATTTTAAAAATACGACTGATGTAAATCAACTGATGTAAATATCTGTTTGTTACTGTACTAATTGTAGCTAAGTCGCTCGTGCGCGACGCAGATTAGGGAGCAAGCCTGTGAGATTTAATTTCAGCTCGTGGTAATTTTGGTGTTTCATACTTTGTTTTACCTGTGTAGACAATATTTAACATTAATATATATTTTTAAAACGCTTTAAACCGCTAAAAAAGCAAAACCCTCATGTTTTATGTACAAACTTTGGCCGAGGAGTTAATTTATTCAATAGTGCTTTGTTATGTAGAGTTGTAGATTTCAAAGGCGCTCAATTGGAATTTTATCGAATTTTGATCGGCGTTCATGCAAAAGTGCTACTAGATCCTAAAGATTTAAAACTGTAGACCTAAAAATCAATGACTGAACTGTCTTTGGTTATAATATCAGAGGATTTGAAGAACTACCGGTCAGCTTTTTTCGTCGCTGAGTTTGGATTATTTTACACCTTCGCGTAAATGAGAAAAGTGTGTCTTCTTAATCAGGTCTCAGTTCGCTCACAAATGAGCAGAGATAAAAATAATTCCCGTGGTTTGACTAAGGAAGAATCAATGTATTCAATTATACTTAAGAAAGATTCACAGCTATTTAAACGTCTGTGTAGCGAGAAGCTGAAAAGTGTAAAATTTCGAGTTTCCGCCAGGTGAAATCCGAGCTTCCGGTAGGGTGACCGTTTTTCGTGGTTTTCTGCCGTTATATGGAATATTTCAAAAAACTAACCTCATATCCTTCAGTTACTTACCTAGGCCTTCAAACTGACAAAGTATGAGCGCAATCGATTTTTTGACCGTGGCCACGTTTTTTGAATTTTCCTTGATTTTTACTGACATTTACTCTTAATTCATGGATCGTGCTTATTTAATGTTATGTGATCTTTTTTTATTCTTCTACTCATTTCGTCTGTAAGTTTTCGTTATAATGTAATGTCTTTTGCTTTATAAGATAATTTGTAGGTTCTTTTCATTTGTTTGCTATATAATTGATAAACATTGTTTTGTGTTATTTGTTCAGGTTATTCAAAGTTATGTTGAGATTTATTCAACGTCGTTCAAGATTAGTTTGTTCGAGATCAGTTATTTTGGGCGCAATTTAAATTTATTATTCATACTTAGTTTCAGTTAATAATAACATGTTCAACTTGTGAACAGCCATTGCAATGACGGCAGACTTTTCCCCACCTTTGATACCTTGGCTTGATTCTCTAAGCATGCCTGAAATGATTGCCAGCTACCTCACTGAGCTCCAAAAGCTTGTGCAGTTTGACGACCATCAGTCTATCAAGCTTGAAGTAACCTTTGGTGTTCTATAAGTGTCAATTATTGGCCCATTACTATTAAAATTTTATGTCAATGATAAGGACAGCAGTTAGTGCCACCAATACACCAATATCACCCTTAAAGCCCACTGTAAACCGTCCTCTATTGACAAGTGTTATGGTGTAATGCAGGAGACTGTTGACAGGCTCAGTAGCTGGCTCTTTGCCGCAACGATTATCTGATGGAGTACCAAGATCAATATAAATCATCATTTTGGCCATTTTTTCACAATATGGCTTAAATTTTCCAGAAAAACACTTAGTTAATAACTCCTATATGCAAATTCACTCTAAATGCCCTATCATTGGCTTGCCAGGGCTCCATGCTTACAGTCATCCCAACTATGACCCGTGTGTTAAACTTCATTAAAGCATTGAAATTATTGTGTAAGGGACATCAGTTGCTCAATTAGGTCTTTTTTCGTGTCTCTTGATTTTAATGGTACTTCAAAAAAGTAAAGATTTCTTTAAGCAGTGAAACATTAAAAAGACTCAGCTTATTAATCCCTCACATTGCATACGAGCATACAGTCTTCAACCGCTTTCTCCATGTAGAATTGTCGCTGGGCTGGACTGCTTTTTTTCCCGCGAGACAAGTTGTAATGGTAGTAGCTGTTGCCTGCGAGGAATATCCTGGGCAACCTCATCCATCGCAGCATTGTAATTACCAAGAATCTCTGTTTCGGGGGTCTGATGGAAAGTTGCTTCAGGAGTTGCTGGAGTTCAATAGGAACTGGAAAAGGGTTTCCTATTAGGGGTAGAAATCTGACGGAATGGCGTCTCCATTTCAGCAGCATGTGCTCCTATGGCTGTTCTTGCATCAGCTTTGGCCACTCTATAAGTTAAACAATTTATTGACGGTATGAACGGAAATTATATTGTACATGTTCAATATGTTTCATGCCGTCTCTTTGAAGCAACGAGTCATTAAAGATAGGGATTCACAAAGGAAAAGAGGGGTAACTGTGTTATCCCATAGAAAGTTAAATCTGGAGCCACCAACACAATCTTTGTCTTAGTTTCGTGCTTGGCGTGCGCTTTCGATGTATGACATGGCATGCGAATAAACACCTTGTGTGGTGAGGTATCTTAGAAACATTAAAATATCCAACAAACCTCTCAGAATCCGCCGCTTCCTAGTTGACTGAACCTTTGGTAGAACTGTGCCCTCCCAAACCGAAGAGTCACTCAGAATGCTTCTTCTGGCAAGTGGTACAAATAGCTATAAAATTGCATCAATACCACTAAAAAAAATTCGTTGTCTTCATCATCGTTATCGTCATCGTCTAGCCTAGCCTAAATCATTTCTAAGAGAAATACCAGGCGTTTCAAACACATCTTGGAGTCCTATAGATGTGTACAGTTCTGATAAGATTTATGGTTAATTTCCTTTTTGAATGTTTCCAGAAATAATATATTTAATAACCTATACAAGTTTCTAAGAGCAATTACAGTGTCATCCCAGTATTCCCAGAGGAAAATGCAATCACTTAAGCCTATTATCGGATCTGCTGGTGCAATGCTATTGAAGGCAAGAAATACACAAGTGTCTGCTGTTCATCATCTTATTGGTCTTTCCCTTTTCCTTGGTTGGACAAGAAAAAGGGTTTGTTTTAAGACATTTATTCCACACTTTCCTCGTTGCATGATTGCCATTGTTAAATTTGAAAGCGACATCGTTTTGTTTAATATTCTCATCCCAGCAGTGTGAGGGATGATTATCACATGCTGGAACTTACAATCATGTTAATTATGGCTGAAGTGTAGATTCAAAAATTATCTTGTTAATCAATGGACAGCATCCGAGCTAGTAGCTGTGAAGTGACAGACTCCGAAAAAAAAAAAAAGGTATGCCTTTGTCACTGCCTGGAAATCAATCATAGATACAATTTGGACTCATTTTCAATCATGCAGGGTTTCAGTCGACTTCAGAAGCTAGGTATGTGCATGAGTAGGAAGAGCACTGATAGAAAGATGAAAGAGACTGCACAACACTACCAGAAGAAAGTCAAGTCATGGAAAGCTTCCATAGAAATGTCAAGAAACACACCAACCTCAGAGTCCTCAATTTCACCTCAAAATCAACAACAGGTACAGTTTTTAAAATGTACATGAATTTTTCTTATTGTGATTAAAATTAATAGAGAATACATATTTCCGAAACAAGGTTTTGCAAAATAGTTCCTTGTATTTAAATTGCTTGAATAAACTCAAAGGAGTTGAGGAGTTGATAAACACGCTTGAACAATTAATAAGAATTGTACGGCAAAAAAAAATATGAATAACGCTCATAGTACCAAAAGACCCTCTTTTCTGCTCAACGTCCTTATTCAGCGATCAACAGCAGATACACATACTTTAGTTTAGTACTTTTTTTGTTTGGTAATAAATTTACACCTATGTGCGATTTAGTCAAACTGTCTCTTTGGGACTTTGTGGTGCATGTTATTCATCAATAAACAATGTTTTCAGGATAGAAGTTTCAACTATGGTTTAACATCCATTTCTTTTGAACCCTTACCCTATGATTATTCATGAATTAGGGAAAGACATTTTGTAACGATGTCGCCCGGCTGGCCGTATAATAAACCAGATTTAACTATAGAGAGAAACTACACTTTATTTGGCCGACATGACACCCGGAAAGCATGGCCCACACAACTATCCATGATCCTTTGCACGTTTTCAATTTCCGAGAACTTCCGCCAACACAACTTCCTGTAAACAATACTATCAACACATTACATCCCTTCTTTTCTTTAGAAACAAACAGATAACAGCAAAAAAGTAATAAATCTGCATGAAAACTGTTCCGCTTGCATTGAGTTATCTCAAAAAAACTGTCCAATAAAATCTAGTAACATGAAACCGAATCTAACAGACTTCAACATAAGTCCAACGTGTCAACAGAGTTCATAAAGTACATAATCCTTGTACTTCTCCGGCATTCTGACAGTCCGCCTTAGTCTTGATGTCGCTATACTCTCCTCCAGTGGAAGGGTATTGGGTGTTTCTTGAGAAACGGCCTTTGAGGTTTCTGGTAATTCCCCTACTGGGTTGTACCGCTTAATCAATGCACTGTTCCGCTTATCCACACCCTCCTTGGACCTAAAAGTCACCTCACTGCCTTCTTTAGTCTGCATTGTGTATGGCTCACTCGAAATTTGATTCCAGCTTACCAGACGTTTTCGTGTTCTTCAGTAAAACCAGATCCCCAGGCGCTACAGGGCTTTCAGCGGCACCTCACTTGTTGTCAGCATGTTCCTTGTGGATCAACTTGTGATTCCAATCCTGATCTCTGACCCCCTCGTCCAACAGGTTACCAGCGCACCTTAACTCTGGAAGTTTTGTTTTCAACTCTCTGCCAAACATAAGGAACGCAGTAACACCAGTGCTTGTTTGTGGTGTGGTTCTATATGCTGACGAAAACTTCTGCAGTTCTTCACGCCAGTTCTTTCCCTCGACATGCGCAACTTTCAAAGACTTAAGCAGAATTCTATTCTGTCTTTCGACATGTCCATTGGCCTGTGGCCAGAGCGGTGGAGATGTTAAGTGTTCGATTCCGTGATCAGAGAGAAACTTCTCAAACTCCTCACAGCAAAATTGAGGACTGTTGTCAGATTTGAGAGCAAATGGAAATCCATATCTGGAGAATATCTGTATCAGTACAACCACCACTCTCTTAGCTGCTGTTAAGCGCATGATCGCTACCTCATAGAATCTACTGTAATAATCTATGACTACGAGCAAACTTTCTCGAGTGGGGAGAGGACCCATGAAGTCTATGACGACGTCTTGCCAGGGTCCAGTAGGCGGCTTTACTCTTTTCATGGGCTCAGGAACCTGAAACTCATGGCATCCATGACAAGATTTATACCCCCGCCCTGCGTCTGAGTCAATTTTTGGCCACAAACCTTTATCCTTAAATGTGCCTTCATTTTTACGATGCCCTGATGTCCCTCGGGGGGCAAGATGCAAGACTTCTCTCCGTAATGCCTTTGGAACAATTCTTGTACCGCGCAAAACAAGTTTGCCCAACACACACAATTCATCCTTGACACACACATAAGCTGTCATCCTACATTGAGACCAGTCCCCACTTAAAATGTGCTGTCTCAGGCTAGCAATTTCTGTTCACTATCAGAAGCCAATTCGGCTTGTTTCACTGTCAGAGCAACAGTTAAACTTTCCTCAGCGACTGCCTTGACAAAATCAAATTCCTCCCCACTTGTGTCTTTAGGTTCACATTGATTGAGTCTTGAGAGAGCATCCGCTTTTTTCGCTTTCCCAGGCCGACAAATAACTCTGTAGTCATACCCCTGCAACCTCAGAACCCAACATTCGATACGTGCTGATAGATTTTGAAAGCGTGCCAAAAATAAACTCGAGTGGCTTGTGATCAGTTTCAAGTTCAAATTTGCGTCCGTACACATAAATGTTGAACCTCTCACAAGCTCATACTAGGGCAAGGGCCTCTTTCTCAGTCTGACTGTATCTCCGTTCTACTTCAGTGAGGTTCCTGGACGTGTACGAGATTGCTCGCCACTCGCCGTCTTGAAGTTGAGTCAGCACCACAATTTTCTGGTACTTTTCAGGCGCTGATGTTACCCCAAACATCAAACGTTTGTACCTTTACAAACCAAGGTGTGTAACAAACGCTGTGATCTCTCGCGATCTTTCATCAAGTTCCACCTGGTGGAAGCCCCACTTAACTTGAGCTTTGAGAAACAAGACTTCCTCGATTGCGCATGTCCACGCAAATCTAAATGTCACCATCTGTCTTTGGGACAACAACCAATGGCAACACCCACTCAGTTGGGTTGTTTGTAACACCTCCTCGATGATGTCTTTGGCTAACAGCTCATTCAGCTTCTCGTCAACCTTGGCTCTTAACCCAAATGGCAGTCTCTGTACGGGTTGTGCGACAGGCTTGACATCGTCTTCTATATGTAATTTCAGCTGGAAATCCTTCAGTTTCCCGACCCCTGTAAAAACCTCTATATACTTCTCACGGATGTCAGCATCACTTCCTTCAGCAGTTAATGAACACACATCTGGACCAACCCTTAACATGCCCAACTTTTCTGCAGTGTTCTTTCCGAGTAGAGGCCTTCCTGGACCTTTAACCACTGTGAATTTGTCCACACAATTGTTGCCACTGATCTCGCACACAATCTCAGACACAAATGTCCCGATCATCTCAATAGGGTCTTTCTGCCCATAAGTGAACAACTTTTTGCTTGATTTCTTGGACTCATACTGAACACTCTTCTTTTTCAAAACTTCCCAGGTTATTTGGTCAATCACATTGCATGACGCGCCAGAATCAATAAGTACCGCGGGTAACATCACTCCTCCAATCTTCAAATCTACTTCACTACCACTTGTAGGCTGACCAACACCAACCGCAAATGCATAATAATCTTATACGGTTAAGAATATATGAAAGTCATATATTTGAACTGCGGATAAAGACATGAATGAAAGTGATCCTCGCAGTGATGTGCACTACTTAGGCAGTAGTGAAAATAAGGCCTGAAAAAAATTTCAGGCCTGTACAGGATTTGAACCCACCGAAAGGTGCACCGGTATCGCAGAGGTCATGGGTTCAAATCCCGTACAGGCCTGAAATTTTTTTCAGGCCTTATTTTCACTACTGCCTAAGTAGTGCACATCACTGCGAGGATCACTTTCATTCATAATAATCTTGTTGGCCAGTGGCTGAATCCTCTGATAGTTGCAGAAGGTTTTCGTTCCTTTTTTTTTTGCAACAGACTGCAAAATGTCCAATCTCACCGCATGCATTACATTTCTTGCTACGGGCAGGACAATTCTGGTCACGTGCCATATGGTCAGTGTAATTACAGCGAAAACAGCCTCTCACTTTTGTCTCCTGAGAAGCACAAGACGGTTTACCAGGCTTATTTCCTCTGCCTCTACCCTGTGCTATCCTTTTTCCTTTTCCTTTGCTGTGAGGTTTGCCGGAAACAGCATTCACCTGACCGGATGACCAATCCAAAGCCTTGACCTGCATGTTCACTGCTTCCTTCACACGAGGCAAATCTTGTAAACCCTTCAGAGTAGCATTTGTTTTCTCAAGGAACTTACAGCAAAGCCTGGGATCCCTGCATCTCTCAATAAGCTTATCCCTTATTGCCTCATCAACATTCTCAAACTCGCAGGAGATCGCTTTCTGCCTCAACCGACAAACAAACTGATCCACCGACTCTCCTGACGCTTGCTCCATTTGCCTAAACTGACGTCTTTTGAATGGAACGTTCAACTGCGGTGTGAAATAGTTATCCAACAACGCCATACTCTCAGCAAACGGCTTGATATCCGTACCGGTCAATAACATGTTATAAAGCTCCTAAAAATTCAACCCTCCATTATGCAATAGCAATGTAGTTTTCTGTTCATCTTTCGTAATACCTTTTGCCACCAAATACAGATTAAACGAGCGTTTAATCTGTATTTGTATAACTATTAATCTGTATTTGCATAACTTCCAGCGAATTGCAAGGGTATTCGGATCTTCCTTTGGATTGAAGAGGGAGAGGCTGGCCGCATCAAGAAGAGGAACAAACGTCGCAGCTGGTGAAGCTTGTGAACTTGAAGTTGTACTCGAACCGGTTCCACTGTCCATCACTTTTCTGACAAAATGCTAGGACTTTCCGCACAAATGACTTCCAAAAAAATCCACTACCTCACAAAACGAATTGAATCCTTGTCGCCAATGTAACGATGTCACCCGGATGGCCGTATAATAAACCAGATTTAACTATAGAAAGAAACTACACTTTATTTGGCCGCCATGACACCCGGAAAGCATGGCCCACACAACTATCGATGATCCTTTGCACGTTTTCAATGTCCGAGAATTTCCTCTAACACAACTACCGCTAAACAATACTATCAATACATTACACATTCGAAAGTAAAATGAGTGTAAAAGGTAATGGTATGTCCTCCATGCAGGGTTCAGCTATTTCTCAGACTCATTTAACTATTCCTAAGAACAGAGAGTGACAATGAGTGGGCCTCAGGATCAAGTCTATTTTAGTGGCGAGTAGAAAAACAATATTGATGTTCTCAGTTACACATCATAACATTACTTCAAAATTGTCACTGATGCAGATGAGACTTGAACATTACATATCACTAAATATTAAATGCCCCTTCCCAGTTAAACTAACTGTGAGATAAAAAGGGAAATTCTGCTCACTCATTGGCACACCACTGTATGTCACCTTTACTGAACTCATTTGTTGCTATCTACTTCCACATTATATTTTCTCAGACCAGAACTCCTCTATATCATAACTGTTCTGAATCTGCAATCGTCACCATAAAACGTGTAGGAGGTGTCGTTTTCGGAAGTTTGAGCGCAGATGCAAATGGTAGGTGTGTTCCGTCTTCGCTGAACATGGCTTCATAGTCCACGTAGACAAAGATGGGTGGTTCTGCGTACACGGATGCCTCAGAGTTTATTTTTAAATCCTTCTTGAGTTTGGCTTTCGTTTTCCATTTAGGTGAATCTTCATGTTTAGGGATGGGCTGAATGTAGCATTTGTGTTCTCTAAGGTCCACGTACTCCTTACAGATAGAGCATTTTCCAAAGTAACAACAGTGTAGCTGTTGCAAGAGTTCCCGCATCGTACTAGGGTCTTGCAGATGTTTTTTGCGCGGTGTAAGGCGAGGCAGTTCTGACTGTAAAAATGGCGGTTGCAGGCTGGGCAGTGGAAAGTGGGTTCGTGAGGTTTGGTACCACATTCGGTCTGCTTGCATGCTTTACAGTGATGGCCCTCGCATGGGTGGTTGCGGAAGTCGTCATGGTCAAAGCCTTTGTTGCACGTGTCACAAAAATACGATCTTTCCAGGAGTCCGAGGTAAGACGTACATCCATGGTAATGACCCATACTGCTTTCGTACTCTGGTTGATACAGGAGGTGGATGATGTACTGTGGCCATTATACATTTCCTTGAAATGTAATGCAATATGGATAGCATGTGGTCATCACTTTCAAGTGGTAGTCAGGCGCCAGGTACTATTAAAACTTTTATAATTCGGCACGCCCACAAGGGCCTTCGGGCACACCAGCTTGCTTGTGAAGGAATTTGGCGCATCGGGTGAGCACATTCGGATTATTTCCAAGATTCTTATAGTAACACTTTCCCTCTACACCATCATCTCTATGCAAGTGGGCTTTTGTTTGACAAATGGCTCTTGCAAGGGAAAGGTTGTCTTCTGAATTTTTAATCGGTAACACTCATTGTTTGCTGTGGAAAACATCTTCATCTGTATCTGTCAATGTTTTGTTTTGCCACTGGTCCGTAACTTTTTTGCGATGGAGTGTTTCTTTTATCGATCTAAGAAATAAAAAAGGTCCTTAGGGATCTAGCTGATTTTTCTCTTTTATTTTTGATTTCTAAGATGAGTATTGATATTTCTTGGTTAGCTTTTCCGTATATCGAGGACACATGACGATGTTTATCTATGTTTGTTTCATAGTGCTCGTAGCAATTATTTTATGACAGAAACTAAATCATGATCATTTTACCTGACTAAAGCCTCTGTGACTTCTTTTCTCACATTATCGTTCTTTGTTGGGTCACGCTTCTGTTTTAAGGTGGCGCAATATCTTTGTTGATTCGCCGCTGATTTCCTCCACCATTCGGGAGACCAGTTTTTTGGAAATCAA